TAGGGAAGACCTCTTTCTGTGACCGGTAGTGGTGGTTAACGTGCTTTGTGTCGGATAACTTGGTGGTTACTGGTCTGGGTTTTACAACTTGCTCCCTCTGACCTTCCTTTTTTAATTCCTATTTTTGTCCTATTTCTAGGGGAAAAACCCTTAGATACATTTTTTTTTTCCCAGTTGTGAATGTTAAATGTTTCTTCTCATCTATGCTTTTCAAGGGTGTCATGCTTAATAACAGATACCATCATCCTTGAATTTTGGGGTAGAAGAACACACCCTAAGTTGCACATACAGTGTCTCAGGCATGTTAAATTGTTGCCCGCCAAGGTGAAGCAGCTCACCCAACCATTGAAAGGTGGTGATGTGCTCTGCTGAAAAAGCAGCTGAGAGGGTGAGGAGGAAGAGGCTAGAGGCAGGTGTCATGGGGAGAGGAACGGGAGGAGAGGGGTACTGGCACTGCCCATAGGGCTGCTGTATTTTGGGGAGACCCTGCCTCCTTCCCCCAGCAAAATTCACCTTACAGAGATAGCGAAGGAGGTGGCAGGTGCTGCCCCAGGGTAGGGGTGACCTTGTAGCAGAAGAGTTCTGTGAACTTGCTCTTTGAAGCTGTTCCCGTTGCTCACCTGTGCCTAGATACCTGGGAGGTGCCGTTTGAAGAGATCTCGGAGCTGCAGTGGCTGGGCAGCGGCGCACAGGGAGCTGTTTTCCTGGGCAAATTTCGAGCAGAGGAGGTGGCGATCAAGAAAGTGAGAGATCAGAACGAAACGGATATCAAGCACTTGCGGAAACTCAAACATCCGAACATCATTGCCTTCAAGTAGGTTGTGGTATTTGCTAAAACCATACTAGTGCTACCTCTTCTCAAGGAAAGAGTTAGCTCTCATACCCTGGCCATGTTTTTAATTCCGGGAATTAAGTTGTCTGTAGAACAAAGTGGACAGTCGTCCTTTGCTCCCTCTTTCAAACTGTGCGTTGCTGTGAAAATGAAGCTTTGGATGCTGCTCCCACCCAATGCTGCGCTTTGGGCATGCTAGCAAAACATGGGCTGTGAACCCTGCAAATGTGCAGGTGTAGGAAACCCAAGGAAACCAACCCCTATTGCAAGTGAGGTTCCTCCTGTGCAAAGCACGCTGAAAACATTCCTCTATTCAGTAAGGAGAGCTGTTAGCAGAGTTTGCCCAGGCGGAGTGAAGAGGTTGCTCTCCTGACCCTTGATTGCCACGTTTAAGCGTTGTTCTGGGTGTTGTACTCTGCTGATCCTCACTTGATGTCTATTTTCTTTGACAGGGGAGTTTGCACTCAAGCCCCGTGCTACTGTATTATCATGGAGTACTGTGCACACGGACAGCTCTACGAGGTCTTGCGAGCAGGGCGGAAGGTCACGCCTCGGCTCCTTGTGGATTGGTCCACGGGAATTGCTAGTGGCATGAATTATCTGCACCTTCACAAAATCATCCATCGGGACCTCAAGTCACCAAAGTGAGTCCCTGGCTCCTTAAATATCCCCTGATTTGCTTCTTTCTTTTTCTTGAAGAATAGTTTAAAATTAGATCGAGGGCCTCGTTTTTTCCCACGTTATGAGGGATTTTTCCTGTGTCACTCTCCTCTTGTGCTGGAATTTGCCTAAACTGTGGAAGTTGTACCAATTGCTTACATGGAAGAGAGCAGTCAGGAAATATTTCCAATGATGTGATGGTGTCTGGTCCTAGTTGAAAGTAGGAGACACTGTTGCCTTCTGTTCTTTTATTTTTCCTTCTTATTTGCTCTGCTGTTATTTCCCTGATTTTCTGGAATGAGTCTTTCTCATTCCTCTGCGGCTTTCTGGCTAAAACTATCCGGCTGTTTATGTTCTTATTCCCTAGATGTTTCTTGATTGTTTCTTTAGCCTGTAACTTGACTGTGATAGTGCCTTAAGGTAATGCGTTTAGGTGATTACAGCACAGTGTGTTAAGGTACAGCGCTGCTAAAAGTTTGAAACGTTCCCAGACGCAGTGAATCTTCGGTTACTTTAGCATGACTTGCTAATTTGCAAGTGATATCAAGACTGATTTTTTTGACTTGTAGGATTTAGAAACGTAGCTGGGGCAAAACCAAAAAAACACAAAGAAAGCAAGTGCTCTTGTCAATGAAAATGCAAAATCTTTTTCCTTTTATACTGTAATCCTGAGCAGAATGGCCTCCTCACCTGTTCATGTTGATTAAGAAGGGATTTACTCCCAAGGGCTGTTGCAGTACCATCTTGAAAGATGTGTCCTACAACTGTGATCTCAAAGGGAAGACTTATTTCCAGAGCTGTGTGGTTTGGGAGAAGTGGCTTCTGGCAGCAAAGCAAACCCCGATCTACACAGCTCGCATGGAAACATGCAAGAGGAAAACAGTCCGACTCGCATACAGATCTCACTGCAGCATAGCATTGCTTGAGATATCAAACAGAGAAAGGGGGTGCACTCCTTCAGTAGTGGGCAAAAAGCATGGATCTGCGGGGATTGACCGCTGGATTTGTGAAGAGGGTAACTTAACTGTGGGACTTAACTTTTGTGTTTGAGGGCCACATCGGCCGCTAACGTCAGAGCCCCTCAGTTGCTTGTCTAGAAGAAAAGTTGTGTGCAGCTCTCAGGGTCCTACGTAATGTTCTCGCAGAAGTTTGAAATCTGTTGCTGAAAGTAGAAAACTTTCAGGATGCTGATTTCTTGTTTTCTTCTTTCCAGTGTTTTAGTTACACACACAGATGCAGTAAAAATCTCAGATTTTGGTACCTCTAAAGAACTTAGTGATAAAAGTACAAAAATGTCTTTTGCGGGTACTGTGGCTTGGATGGCCCCGGAGGTGATACGCAATGAGCCCGTCTCCGAAAAAGTGGATATCTGGTGAGTAGTATTGCTGTTTTAATCAAATATCTTCACTTTTTGTTTAGCCTCTTGCTTTTCCCAACACTCATATATTTAGTGCCCTTTTCCCGTCCTAGGGACAGGGATGGTTTGTTCTCTGGAGTATTGCACTCTCAAAAGGTCTACCTAGTGCCCTGAACCATGGGCTAAAATGCAAGAAAATGATGTGTATGTGAAAGGTTAGTGTCGAGATCTGGAAGTACATGCCAAGACTTAGTACAAACTGTCTGCATCATGCAGGATCTTCACAGTTTTCTTAAAAAAAAAAAAAAAAAAAAAAAGAGAACAATTCTTCTCTATCTCGGTAGTCCAGACAGAGCTTTCTTCCGTTAGTAGTGCTTGAGGTCCTCTCAGCAACTTCTGCAGCCAGGTTCATCTTTCATCTGCCTTTTACCCTCTTCAGGGCCTCCCTTGAACTGCAGAGAGGCCTCTACTCTGCTGGCTTGATGGGTCCAACCATCTTTTCCTTTCTGCATACTGGACTTGGCTGTTACGTGTACAGCCACAAGGTTGTAGTCCGGTGAAACTAATCCTGGATCCAACAGAGAGGAAACCAGGAAACATTACAGGAGCTATTTCCACCCTGTGTGAAAGGTACTCTATGTCCCAAGGGTCACAAGGAAAGGTTTCTGTGCTACTAAAAATGCTTGAGAGAGAACTCAGCCTTGGACCTCCTTTGGGATGCCTCTCCACAGGTTTGAGAGTCCTCAAGAGAACCACATCTCGATTTCTGCTGTGTTGTTTCTTGTCATTAAATGGTAGTAGCCAGGACAAATGTACTTGTCCCTCTTTTATGGCCATGATGAATTTCCCTTTTTGTAGCTTTCAGCTTTGAATGCTGTCAGCCTCCCCTGTACAGTGTGAAAGCCCAGGTCAAAGCTGCAGGTGGTTCTGAGTGTGAGTGGAGCCAAAAAGCTGCTGCTGCAGGTGGTTCAGCTCAGTGCTCTGCTCTCTGTGCTGGCTGAGAGTTGGATCATGACTTTAAGCTGGGATTTCCTGTAGGGAAAGGAAAAGTCTTGTAACACGTGATGAACTGTGGTGAAAATGTGTTCTTGTGCTTTCTCCTGAGAGCCACCTCCTTCTAGAATTAGTCAGCAAGAACAGTTTTCCCTGAGATTGGCCCGCAGGCCTGGGACTCAGTCCTAAAAGACATCCAAGTAACCACATGCTCTTATGCCTTGTCTCTTTGAGAGAGCTTTCTTCTAGCGTCGTGACTGTTGTCAGCATCCATCCCGGCAGACTGGAGGAGCGAGGAGAAGTGTTTGTGCAGTCAAAGCCATGGGACTAGGGAGAGCAGGCCTGGGAAAAGTTCTTTCCCTTGTCTAAAGCAAACATTACTTTTGGAAGACCCAGTTATAAAGTGATGTTTTGTGTGTTCATTTTGTTTAATTTGGCATCTGGGCTTTGGGCAGGAGCCTGGACATTCAATTCAAGGCAGGCTAAAACATAGCCAGCTCTTCTGGGAGAAGCTCTTGGATTGTTTTAGGAAGAAATTACAGTCACTGTTTGTCTTCTGAGCTCTTCTCTTTGAATCACAGATTCATTAGGAGAGATGTTGCTGGATTTCCACTTTCAACTTTTTCTTCTTTAGAGTGGCCTCAATTCAAGAGTAACGTGTGGAGCATCATGTCCAATAAAAAAGAGCTGCTAGCCCTGCTGAGGACTCTGAGCACTCCTTGACTCCTTTCCCGAATGACTTGCAGATGTTGTTCTCTGGTGTAAACCTAGAGGTACTTTGGATGCAAGTTGCTGCTAAACACCCTGCCCAGACTCCAGTGCATATCACTGCCGCAGTTCCTTTACCACTCCTCCTTTCTGCTCCCAAATATGATGGCCTCTCTAGGGTTACTTCCAGTGTCCCACTCAGCCACTAGACAATGACATGTTTGGCTTTTGCTCTTTGTGTGATGGGAGAGAACCAGACCACTCCTTTGCAGTGATGAGGGAAAGACCTGTGTGGAGGTGATGGTAAATTCTTGCTATCAGAGGGTGCAGCAACCATTGCTCAAACTCTTCCTTGACATCCGTTCCCGCCCCCCCCCACCCCAAGATGAGTAAGAGCCACGTTCCTGAATGCTGACAACAAATGAGAACAGTTCCTAAGCTGCTTATATGTCTGTTCTGCCTCATCTTTAACAGCATGCTAAAAAAAATCTGTAATCTTATCAGGAGTCTTGAAAATCCTATGTCGGGTCTTAATCAGAGCAAAGCTGAAACCAGATGGGGTTTCCTGGTAGCTTGTCCAACCACTTGGGATCCCTGCTTTCTTGCAGCCCACGGAAAAATGTTTCCAGGGGAAAAAATGTTCAAATTCTGACTTTTTTTTAACATGCTTTGAAGCCATCGGGATTTTGAAAGTGAGACCTTTTTTTACGTGAAGTTCTGTTTCCTGACTGTTGTTCACATCCAGGCAGTTGGTCCCTTGGCTGGTCTTCTGTACTTAATAAAAACAATTCGCTCTAGTGCAAGCCGGGAAAACCTGTGTCACTTTTCACCTGTTTTGGCTCACCAGCCAGCTTGGCAGAGCTGGTGCCCCACGGGTATATGGGGACACAGATGAGGAGATACCTTGCAGGTTGGAAATTGAGATGGCTGTACCTCCCCTCTTACCTCAGCCTGGTCTTACTTGATCCTTTCACTAAGGAAGGGAAGTAAAGTGAGTTTTATGGCCTGTATCTTTCATTTCTTGTAACCTCTTTCTGGGAAAGAAAGAGGTTCTTTCCCAGGCTGAGAACTTTTTTCTCCTCTTGTAACTGTGTGTGTTTTTTTCCTCTTTGGCCTTCCTTTTTCAAGTTAGAGCACAAAAGGAATTCTGGATGAAAGTGCATGTGCTTTTGATGCTGACATTTACACATGTTGCATTTATTTCTTTGTTTCCACGTTGCAGTAGTGAATAGTGATGAGTCTCAAGCTTCTGAAACACCTACCTAGGAGTATTATGAGTGGCTGAGTATACATATCAGCAGGGGGAACTTTTGGCTAGGAGAAGAAGTTAAATGAAACAAAAACAGCTTTTCTGCTGTCTTTGTAAAACACGCATGAGTTCTGGCTATCCTGTAGTAGATGATGTGTTCTTACCAATGAAAACAGTCAAAAGTTTATCTCAGGAAAGCTTACTTTCCCCTTCAACAGGAGTTGGCAAGATTTCATCTCTGCAAAAAGGCTTCTAATGTACTCCTAGGATTTTTAAAATCTCACAGTGAAGTGGGAAAGGGTGGGTGAAAAGCGGTGTGGTTTGGTGTTCAGCCCAGCCTGGGACAGAGGAAGAAGAGAACCTTGTATGTGAAATAGCTACTCTTGGTTAGAAGCTAGTGTTTAAACGTGGTTGCATCTACTTGCTGCTCCAGATCAGACATACTTAGCTCCCAGTTTTGCCAAAGGAATGGCAGTTTTCCAAGCTCCAGGTGCTTCTGTTAAATTGCATTCATGTGGAAGTTCTTCAACGGTCTTGTTTTTTTGTTGACCAGGTCGTTTGGGGTAGTTTTGTGGGAGCTGCTTACTGGAGAGATTCCCTACAAAGACGTGGACTCGTCTGCCATCATCTGGGGTGTGGGCAGCAACAGCCTGCACCTTCCAGTCCCGTCCACCTGTCCAGACGGCTTCAAAATCCTCATGAAGCAAACCTGGTAAGCGCCTCGTCCCCACGCAGCTCGAGAGATGACTCCTAGCTCTCCCCAGACTCCCAGAGGAACTGATGAAATGAGGGCCAGGGTGGGGAGTGTTGAGCCCGGAGCATAGGACTCTCTTGAAAACCCTCCCACTCGGCACGGGGACAGTAAGTTGTAACATTATGGATCCTGCTTCCTTGTGGCAGAAGGCCTGGGTCCCAGAGGACGTATGGAACAGAGGGGAAGGCGGGAGAGAGCTGTGTGGTTTGCTGTTGGGTTGGGAAGATGGGTCAGATGGAAGGAGTATGCAGATGCTGTTGAGATGGGCTAGCGAGGGAGAGGGGACTGGACACCTGAGAAATGGGAGAGTGGGGCTTGATGGTAGCCCCAGGAAGGTGACAGGTTACTCCAGAGTTGCCTGTCAAATGCAAATCAGGAGCCTGCAGCATAGAGGTCATCCTCAATAGCCTTCACAGGGTTTGTTGCTTGAGTTGCTAAGCAGATGAGAGAAAACAGCTCTGTGGGAGGGGAAAAGGAGCTGGTAGGAAGCGGTGAAAGTTCTTGAGGCTGACTGCAGGCTATAAGCAAATGGATTTTTGCTTTTCTTCTTTAATACTCTGAAAACCTCTTTCAAGGTGACTGGCTTTTGAACTGGGCAGAGAGAAACTCATACTTTGTGTATGAAACAAGGTTTTACCCATGTGTGTATATGGGAGATGCTTTCAGTTTACTCCAGTTGAAAGTAGAGATGAAATTCTTGGTCTCAGGCCACGCATTAACGCTTAATTTTTGCAGCTGAGTCCTGTCACAGAGCATAAGTGGTCTTTCAGCATTTTGCCGCTCTGCGGGTATGCCAGCACAAGGGGAGAAACGGGCCGAAGCATTGGTGGCTTTTTTAAAGTGGCTGTTTACCCTCCTGATCCTGAGCCTCAGCTGGGCTTCTGTGCGTGGTTGTGAAATGCAGATGTTGCAGCTCGCAGCAGTGCATGTATACACTTGTATCCCCACCTAGTGGAACTAGGTCGCTGGTGAAGGAGAGGCGGCCTTAGAAGCTGTTTCTTGTTGTCTTGAACGCTGCGTCCATGCAGCGAGTCTGGTGGTTAAGTCTTGAAGCCAAAATGCCAGTCTGTCTGTATTTTTTTTTTTTTTCCCCAGAGATACTAATGGATTTGTACTGAAGTGGGATCTTACGCGGGTGTTCTGTGTGTTACAGTATTGAAGGCTCAGTCTTGTACTATATGGCCATATAGATGGGTGTGTTTGTTTATAGCTTTGGTTCTAGTCTATTTGCTACACAATTCAGAGGACTGATTTTGGTGATAAACACTTTCAGAAGGGCAGGATCAGTTAGAGTTATTAACCTGATCTCAGGTTGGTGACTGGTCTGTTTTGTTCCAGGCAGAGCAAGCCCCGGAATCGTCCCTCATTCCGACAAACACTGATGCACCTGGATATCGCCTCTGCTGATGTGTTGGCTACTCCTCAGGAAACCTATTTCAAATCGCAGGTACGCGGAGAATGGCTGTAGCCCCTGAGCACTGGAGTGGGCTCCAAGGGTCTTGCTTCAGGGGCTGCACTGTGTACAGCAAAAGTCACAACCCACGACTTAAGTTTGATTCTTGGGGAGGAGAAAGCTGACGCGTATTTGAAAGTCTTTTACCCAGACTTTTGCAGACTGAAACATCTGCTAGCTTTAGCCAGAAATTCAGCGTTGTCTCATTCACTTCTCTCTGGAGACTGCTGACTTCAGATGTTCTTGTCCCAGCTGTTTCTTCTGGTACAGTCGTACAGGAAACCAGAAAACTCTACTGTGAGAGGAAACGCTGCATTTATTAGTGAAGATGAGTAGGGCAGTCAGTGGGACAAAGCTGTCACAGAGCAGTGAAGGGACTCTGGGACACTCGGGGAAGATCTAAAAGGATGTTCTTGAAGATTCCTTTGAGTCCTTCCCAGTTGGCCTCTCCCAAGGCAGGAATAAGGATGAAACCTTGTCTTGAGTATAGAGGATCTATACAGTGTGTAGTGGGGGGTGTGTGTGTGTGTGTGTGAGGAAGTGGGTGCCTTTGAATAAAGCTGCAAGAACAAGGGCTTCAAGGGACAAATGGGGTTAGTACCACCCTAGCGACAGTCATCTTTCTAATGAATAGAGCTGTGCAAATGATCAACCTTTCAGTTTATTTTAAGTGCCAAAAAGGAAGAAAGTGTCTTAAATTGAAAAGGGCTTTTGGAATTTGATTTTTAATATTTTAGAAAATGCGAGTATATTTTAAGTGAACTAATTGGTAATACCATTTGAAAATGCTGAAATGACACATGCTGCAATTCTTTCACCAAAATAATTCAGCTAGTGGAGGCACGTTTTCCACATGAATCTGCAATTTCTGCAGATGCAAAGAACGTTGCTCGAGACTTTTTCTTCACAGTAACCAGGGAGCAAAATGCTTTGTAAATACCTGAGAGTAAATTTTTTTCCCTAGGCTGAATGGCGAGAAGAAGTGAAGAAACATTTTGAGAAAATTAAAAGTGAAGGAACTTGTATCCACCGGCTAGATGAAGAATTGATTCGTCGTCGAAGAGAAGAGCTCAGGTCTATTGACGGTCTTTTATGACTACTACTCGCTTTTCCTATCCAGCCTTTTTTTCTCCTGGTTAAGTGAACCCAGCTCCCTCAGCCTCTCCTCGCCGGGCGTGTGTTCCAGCCCCCTGACCATCTATGACTCTGTCTTGTACTGCAGGCCTCAAAGCAGGACTCAGTATGCCTGGTAACATAAATTCAGGCAGCCTGAATTCCTCCAGAAGCTGAAGTTCCTGCTGGCATGTTCTAGTTCCAAAGAGCTGCCTACTTTCTTTGGATTAGTTATTTCCAGCAAAATGAATATACTCCTTATTTACCAGTCCACTTAAACTTTCTGCTTTCATTTTAAAATTGGTCTAATGTTCAAAAAGAATTTGAGTAAAATGCCATCTTCTTTGCTATAAATTTGCTAGTAAAGTTGTGAAAGAGAAGTAAAACGCTAAGTAGCAGTTCTATGTTAGACTTGAGAAACTAAAGGAAGCCTCGTTCAGCTGGTTTAACGTAGTTGTTGATCAGTTGTACTTAGCCATGGGAACCTTTCAAAGGCCACATCTTCCTGCTTTGGTTCAAGGTGTCTTATACAACCACACTATAGCTTTAGGGACATACTGATTTTTATGAAATGCAAACGGATGACTTCTTTCCCTGTTTCTTTACAAGCTGGCTTAACGCCTTCCCTGTTGAATGCCAGCAGAATGGTCAGGGCTTGGCTGAAGGGCCTGTGGATGCATGTGACGCGTTTGCGGCTTTGCTAGCGAGAAGTGTTGCTGTTCTTTCAAGACTGTTAAAACTTTTCTAAATCGTATCGTGATTCATTCACTGTATCAAACTCTGAATCTTTGTTCATTATTAAGTCTGTTGGGGCCCATACACAGTGTCATACAGGTGGCAAACTTGACATTTAGGCCTTTTCCTAAACTGCCTGTGCTTTTCCTCATTCCCTTCTCTTGGTCCAGGGACACCAGACTGTGAAACATTGATTTTTTTTTTTTCTTTTCTCTTTTGCAGGCATGCATTGGATATCCGTGAACACTATGAGAGGAAGCTGGAGCGAGCCAATAACTTATACATGGAGCTCAGTGCTATTATGCTGCAGCTGGAGGTCCGTGAGAAGGAGCTCATAAAGTATGTATCTCTTGGCAGAAGGGCGTGCAAGGCGCATGGCAGTGTGCATACGGGAGAATAAACCGGTGCTTCGTTTCTAAACGGCATAGTCGTACTTGCAGATTTAGTCTCCGCTGACGTGCTTCCAGGGCTAAAGAAAGGGCTGGCAGGCAGAGAGAGGCCTCTTAAGCATAGACTGCTGTGGACCACCTTGTGCACATATCTTTACCCGTCATTTACCAACTGCGAGAAAAGCACCTTTCCCATTTGGCACTGGTGTCCTTTGTTGGCCTGTTTGTGAAGAGAAACACAGCACTGTTTCTGGACTGTGCGCCAGGGCCATGTTCCAACTGCCTGATCTCTGCAGAGAGAATTTAGAAAATAACCAGGTCCTTTCCCAGAACAGCACATTGTGTTGCACCCAGCTGTAGCTGTGAAACAGGCACGCAGTGTGCTCATGCAGAGCTGCGTTTCTATCCAGCAGGAGCTGCAATTAGATAGAGAAAAGAGAACTGATCTGGGTTTTTCCTTCCCCAATGTTTCAGGAGGGAGCAAGCAGTGGAAAAGAAGTATCCTGGGACTTACAAACGCCATCCAGTCAGACCAATAATCCACCCCAATACAGTGGAGAAGCTGATGAAGAGGAAAGGGGTTGCCCATAAACCAGGCAGCCAGACTAAACGGTAAGTAGTAACAACCCAGTCGCCAGGAAGCAACCGTAGAACCCCACTGAGTCGAGCAGGCAGCTTACGTCCCTTTTGGACTGAGGGCAGCGCAGGACGGGCTGAAGGAGTGTTCTCTCCTGGGCCTGGTCTGATCCTCAGAACCACAATTGGTTAATTACCTTAAGGCAAAAGGCATGAATCCTGCCTTTCCTTCTACCTGGCCGGTTCTCTGGAACCACTTGGTCCATAGAAATTTTTCAGAGGTGATAGTGCTCTGCCAGAAGGAGGTATCTAATGTGTCCTCCGAATTTCTTATGGGCCAAGCAAAGAACAGTTAGCTCATCCCTGACTTTGATGTTAGTAAGCAGGATGAGGGATTGTGGAAATCAGACAGTCCTGAGGGAGGATGGATTTGTTGCTGAGGAATTAAATTGGGATTCAATAACTGTGAACTCATTGTCCTTTCAGCTATTTTCTCTCTGCATGACTTTCAGAAAGTGAGATACTACTGGATTTTTCAGAGGAGTTGTGTATCCTCCTTCTCCTCCCTTTTCTGGGTGTTCTAGGAGTCAGAGTCGCTGATTAACAGTGAATAATTACTTATTATGAATTAATATTCATATATGCATCTGAAATGAGCAGGCTGACACCATCAGCAGATTGGAGCCCTATTGGGCTGAGCGTGATGTATGTGTATGGTAAGAGACATGCCCTACACCAAGGTCTTAGACACAGGAGGGAGCTATTTTGGGAGTAGATCATCAAAGTAAGGATGAAAGAAAGGTGGAGTGTGTGTGTCAGATGTTGGGAAAGGCAGCAAGAAAGCAGTGTGGGGTGTGATGGGCTGAACAGAAGGGACATTGAGTGGAGAGATCTAAAAAAAAAACCTGAAGGCAGAAGTCAAGCGGCTAAAGGAGAGAAAGGCCTGCAGACTATAGAAAGCAGAGTCTGCTTATGGCTACCGCTGTCTCTTTGTCCTGGCTCCAAGCTGATGTCCTTTCTCAGTTCTTAGTTCTTGATTTAATGTTAAACTTCTGCTGACTGTCTCTCAGGCCAGATCTGCTGAAGTCAGAGGGCATACCCAGCACAGAAGCAGCATCCAATGGTTCACCAGTCTCAGGAAGTCCCAAAATGTCAACACCAAGCGGCAAAAGCCGCTACCGCAGTAAGCCACGTCACCGCCGAGGGAACAGCAAAGGCAGCTACAATGATTTTGCAGGGATCTTGAAAAACCAGCCAGTGCATGATGATGCACCCCCACCTCCTCCTCCTCATAATCATCCTCATCACCCCAGTCTACAGCAGCAACACGGCCAAAGCCATCCCCATGGCCATCACTCACGGCTTCACGCCCATGGACAAGATATTGCTAATTGCGCAAACAATTTAAGGTACTTTGGCCCCGCGGCAGCGCTGCGGAGCCCTCTCAGTAACCATGCGCAAAGGCGGATGTCTGGTTCCAGCCCTGATCTCATCTCCGCTGCCATGGAAGCAGATTGCCGGAGGAATCTGGAGAGCAAAGAAAGCAAAGCTGATCATTGGGAGTGCTGCAAAACAGATCCATATAATTCCTGTCTTCAGTGCAGGCAAGAGAACAGTGGTCAGGTACAGATGTCATCTCTTGAAACAGGGATCAACCATTCTCAGTCACCAACATGTGTTTCCCTATATGAAAATGCACAGTACATTGAGAAGACGGAGGAAGAGGGCTTCAGCAACTGTAAGTCAGCGTCAGCCCTAGGCACTCCTCAGCACATGGCTTCCTCAGTGCTGCCTTGCAAAACAAGACCCATTCAGAAGGTAAGGATGGCATAGAGATTTTGAAAAAAGGAGGCTTCCTCCCTGTGTGTGGCATAGGCTAGCGTCTGAATACGTGATAGCAACAAAGCCGTGCATCCCGTGCACAGAACAGCGGAGTTGTATACGACTTTGTCGTAGAGATCATACCTGTGTGGGCTTTGCTTTGTGATCTGGACAGTCTTTTAGAGTCACTTTTTATTGAAAAGTATTGTAGGAGTATTGATGAGTACTGCTAATAATGAAGGTTGTAAACAGGACCTTTTGTTAAGGCCCTGTTTTCTGTTGCCTGTAATTTAGCCAGTCTTTGTTTGAGCCCAAACTTTCCTTGTTTTCGAGCCTTTCTCAAAACAAAGGAAGGGGTAAACGCGTTGCTTTATCCATGTTAAACACCTTGAACCAGTTTCGTTCAGAAATTCTGCAGCACTGCTGTGCTTTGGAACACAGATACAGTCCCTGCCGTAGCCTCGGGGACATGCCTTTGCTGCTCCTGCGAGAACCTGGCCCGCTTGACTGAAAGTCATAGTTCTTATGTGTTACGTGAAGATCTCCTAGCTTAGCAGCTAAGCAAGGAGCACGCTCTGACCTGGAGCTGCAAGGGCTGAAAAGAAGTTCCTCAAAAGTGTTCCCCCCTAGTGGGGAGGAACAGTTGTACAGAGATGGAGTTCCTCTTTATTCCTCCTGCTTCCATCCAGGTGGTGAGAGAAGAAGCAGCAAGAGCCAGTCGGAGCAGAGCGCAAAGAGCAGAGAAACTGGGCCTGGGTGGAAAAATGAAGGGAGGAGGAGCCCGTGGGCATGCAATGAGATAGAGGCTGATTCTGAAGTGTGAACCAGGAGTTGGCGGCTTAGATGGGACAGGAGTAGGCTGGAAACAACAAGATTGCAAGGGCTAGGTTTGGCTGGAAGGAGAAGAATAAAAGGCTCTGCTCACTGAAGTAGGGAATGGGACAAAACTCATTTTGTCATTAACGAAACCCACCAGAAAAGGATGTGCTACCCTCCATCCTGCTTTATGATGGCTTCACGTAGAAGGGGTCGAAGTGGTAAAGTTAGGAGTGCTGAATCAGCTCAGTTTATGTGGCTTTCGGTGTGGTCCTAATTACTTGGTTTGCTTCCATAAAAATGTAGAAAATTATGTACCCAGTGCCTGCTTAAAGTACTCCAGTTTATTTTGAAGTTAAGCACTCCAAACTTAGAAATGACAGCATTAATGCCACCTGAAATAATCCCCTTTTAAGAAGAAGTCCTAGTCAATTCTCACTGTTCAATAGGTTCTTTTCTCATCTGGACTGTTGCAGTCTGGTTGACACAAGCGACTTTGTGCTAGAAGACGAGTGGGCAACAATGTAGTTGCATGTTTGTTCTTTCACAAATATGATATCAACATTCTTGTCCTTGTCCCCTGCCAGAGCGGTGATGACTCTTCAGAAGAAGAAGAAGGAGAAGTAGATAGTGAAGTGGAGTTTCCTCGTAGACAAAGGTAAAAGGTGAAATTCACTCTAATCTTTGGTGGGACAAAACTCAGAAGGAGAGCTGTCATTGCGGCTGTGTGCCAGCACTGAAACTGCGGAAGGTGCTAGCAGAACAGCAGTCGCATTCAGCGTGTCCCATCCGTTGTCCTCAGTGATTCTGCATGTTGACTTGCTGTTTTCGGCCTGTTCTGAGATGTTTTCTCTAGCATAGCTTCTCTCTTGCAGGCTGTTTGCAACACAACTTGGTTACACTTGGTTAGCAAGGGTTAATATTATTCAGCCTATAAAAATAAGCTGCTGCATCTTTGTCACCAGGATCAGCCTTATTGGATGTTGGTAGCCTTTATGAACTCTTTCAAATGCTATTTATTAGCTGTTGCTGCAAGGGGCTGACTGCAGCACCTTTGTAGTGGGATTCAAGGAGGATTCAAGAGCGAGGTGACAACCCAGCAGATGAAATTTGATGATGTTTCTTGTAGAATAATAGACTTGAGGAGGAGTTCCTACCTCAGCATACATAATAATGGGCTTTACAGTCCTGTGCTCAGGCAAGAGATTATGGCATTGTTGCAGGAGCTTGATGAAAGCAGCTGCTTGACGTGCAGAAATGATGCAGTGGGCAGATAGGTTAAGGCTTGTTAGGAAAGGAGAGAGAACAGAACAAAACCTTGTCTGCTGTTGTATACGTCCATGGTATACCTGCAGCTTGAATCCTAAACGTCACCTCGGTTGCCTCAGCTCAAAGTATGTGTTAGAGTTTGAAAAGGTACTGAGAAGTGTGATAAGGATGGTTAGACGTGGCTTGCAGAGAAGAAAAGATTAAATGGATTAGAGATCTTTGTTGAGGAGGAGAGCGTATAACGGAGGTCCGTGAAATTGTGAATCGTGCGGAGAAAGTTAGCGAGGAACAATTCCTCATGCTCATACTAGGGACACCTAGTGAATCAAGCAGTGGGTTTAAAATGAAAAAAGGAAGTGCTTTTTCCATCCAGAACTTTGTCAAATGTAGAGCTCATTGTGAAGGGATGCTGTGGAAATCAAAATATAAACAGGCTATAAGTGTTTAGTTAATGGAGGATAGCTCAATGGTGGCTGTTAAGCAGTGCCAGTTCGGTCTTCAGCTCAGGAAGTCAGATCTGCTGACTGCTGCAAAGCAGGAAGTTATGCCTGGAGAAAGCAGGCTCTGCACTCCCTGTTCTCATAATTTCCCTGGTTATTTCAGAAAAAAGGGCTGGTAAAGAGGAATATGCTCCAGGGAAGATCAGCTGGTGCGAATGTGTACCAGAGAAGACCGAGTAAGACAGAAGAAATTAAAGATGTGTATCTTAAACTCTGTCGTTCAAAAGGAGGTAGATCCCCTTAGCTCCGAAATGCGAGGGGCAGCCCTGCGCTTGGCAGTGCTCTTCCCACCTGCCTTGCGGGTCAGTTAGGACTCGGCAGTTGGAGATGCGTACTTATGGCAGGGAGAGGCACTTGGAGAGTTGATGGAGAGCCTTTCCTAGGGATAGAACTTGTTCTGCTCGGTCAAAGACACTTCTGGGCGGACCATGCCCTTGACCTGGTGTGGAGAAGCAGCTAGACAGCGTTGCATGCATTATGCCTGAGAGGTAGGGACAATGGGATTGAGCTATTCAGTATCACAGAATCACAGATATCCGCTCTGCATTTAGTGCACTGCTAATATTGTGAGGGTTGTGATTGTGATTCAAGATGTCTTGAAAGCAAGCTGCCTTTCGGCCTTGCTACACACCAGAAACAGTGTTCTTTGTGTTTGAACAGTAACACCGCACTGGTTTGCCAACTAATTCTGCACGTGTGCAGCAGTGGGAGACCTCTCTACTGAGAAGCTGTAACTTTTCTAGCTAGCAGTGGGCTCCTGGGGACAGGGTCACCCAGGGTTGACTAGGCACTGTCAGCGGGGTCGGTCAAGGCCAACAAACTCCAGGTGTGTGATATGCAGGGGAGCCTAAAACAGCACACTGGGAATTGCTTTACACTTGCAGTCAGAGGCACTGGGATACAAGCTGAACTACTCTCCTGGTTTGCAGGCCTCACCGCTGCATTAGTAGCTGCCAGTCCTACTCGACCTTCAGCTCGGAGAACTTTTCCGTGTCGGATGGAGAGGAGGGGAACACAAGTGATCATTCGAACAGCCCAGATGAGCTGGCCGCCAAGCTGGAAGATGAGCTGGCTGAGAAGCTGGAGGACATGTTATCTCAGACTCCAGAGATCCCCATTGAAATCTCCACCCAGTCTGATGGGCTTTCAGACAAAGAGTGCGCTGTGCGGAGGGTCAAGACTCAGATGTCGCTGGGCAAGCTTTGTGCAGATGAACACAGCTGTGAGGTGAGTTGCGTGCTTAGCAATCCCCACTTCCTTCTAGTGGTTAATTGAAAAAAAAAAAAAAAATCTTACGGAAAGACATCCAAGGGCAAGATAGCTGGAAGACTGCCTAGGAAATGGTGTGGTCGATGTACCACAGTGAGGGGACTGCTTAAATACCTGATCTTTCTCATGCTAGGCCAAGTGGATAGGCAAAATAGCACAAAGTAAGCTGGACATAATTTGCTGTTCAGGCTGAGGGAGATATTGGGAGGCCATTGGCTCTGCAGTTGCATTAAGGGGGATAAAAAGTAGCAGATAAAGTAGATAATGGAAGGGATATGAACGTTCTGCCTCAGACCCATCCATCAGCCTTGCTGTCAGACCTGAAATGGTTTTCTTCCTTATACTGTCTTTCAAGTTTTTAGAAGCGGGGAGGGCAGAGGCTTCTGCACCATCTTTTGGTACCTCTGTCTGTTCGTTGATGGTGCTCTGACCAGATATTTTTCTGCCCTAGAAGTGTCCTGTGAAGCATTTCAGTAACCAAACACTGCCGTAGAAGGCCTGAAATGCAGTGACCGACTATCACGCTTTCTGCCAGCCCCTCCTCCAGGGGAGAGAAGGGACCTTTGGTAGGGTGCCTGCGCGCTGCTGACATCTCCTGTGTGCCGCTGATCTCTCCTCCTCGTGCTGGTGGTGACCTTTCCCTGTCTCCTGTTACGGCTTGGGACAGTGTGCTTGATCTGTGATGCAGGATAATTGCTCAAAACGTCTTCTTTCCTTTTGCTTTGCAGAACCCAGCACAGTTTGGAGAATCAGACTGTGACTCTTCCGAAGGGGAGTGTTCTGATGCCACGGTCAGGACCAATAAGCCCTGCAGCTCTGCTACTTGGTAATACAGATCTCCCCCAAAGCTTCCTGATACTGGCATTTTGATTTCCCTGAGATTCCACTTCATTCCCCTTCATCACACTTTACAGGAAGAGAAGATGCTTCTCCTTCCCACCCCAGGAGTGATTTGCAATAACCCGAATCTCTGGAAGATGTCCAAATGAAATTAATTCTCTTTGAGCATTTCAATCAAGAATGGCAGGGATGTATTTTATTGAATAATCTAGTTACTGTAACATGGATATTTATTTTTTTGACATTTTAACACTTTTTACTGTAAAGAGTGGATTGTATTTATAGACACACAGACTTGTTGCAAAAAAATAAACAAAACAAAAACAAAAAAAGCTCAGAAAGCAAGCACATTACAGAGAAACATCCTGGGAGTCCTGCCTGGACAGCATTGTGTACAAACACGGGGGATTCTCATGCTGCTTTCACAGGGGACCAGGCCTTATGGCCCTGAAGACTGGAGAACAGATCAAGAAAACTAAACCACTCAGTCTTATCAAATGAGGAAGCATAATAAAAAGACCTTACTACAAGGTAACCTGTGAACAAAGCGTATTCAGTATAACCAGCTGGGTCATTTTTTAATCAGAAGGTGGACATGTTCCTGGAGAAAACTGGTACTGAGGTGCTAACATCCAGGGTCTTCTGAGTCAATACATCCCCAGGAATGTAATAGTGGGTTTTATTTTAAGGGTTTTTAGGTTTTTTCTTTTTTTTTTTTTAAATCAGCATTTTGTTGTGAGATCCTGCAAATGTATTCTAACCTCGTTCTCCTGAGAATTGATATAAGAGCACTTCTTAACATCACCCTTGCTTCACTCTGGCAGCGTCGATCTCCAGTCGAGCAGGGAAACCTCTTTCAGATGCAGTGTGCCATTTCCCAGTTTACTTCCTCCTCTTACCTCCTGTCTGTTTCAGTCAGTCAAAGAAATCAATCAAATCAGTGTTGGCAAAGCAAGAACTTGCAAACCGTGGAAAGCACGTTCTGCAGAGCCTGAGCACGCCTCTGGGAGGAAACTGGAGATGCCCGTCCTGGATGTGAAGAAGCAGTCTCTCACCTGCAACAGCGTCGATAACCAGCAGAGAGCTGTGTGCTGAGGGGGAAGACTGGGAATCGCTGGCCTAGACACGAGCATCAGCCCTGCTCCGTCTCCTTATTCCCTGTACGTTCTTGAAAGCGTTAACAGCTGCCTGCACCTTCGTGTCAGGCTTTGTGCAAAACAGACGCGTTGCACAGGGAGCCTTGACTGTGGTCGTGGCACAGCTGTGTGTCTCAGGTGTGCCCTGAGGCCTCTGTTTCTTGTCTAAGCTGGTCAAAGTGAGGATAGTCCTGGTACGTGGCATTGGCAGATGAGGAAAAATTTGTTTTCTGATAGAACTCATAGTGCCTTCCCTTCAAACACTACTTCTTCTAAATCAACCTTTAACGAGAACAAAACCTAGAGCACGTCTCCCCCACCTGAGTTGATAACCCCCCTGCGAGAGCTTTCACCCTGCCCTTCCTAGCGTGCTGGCTGAGCCGGCTGCGCCAGGCGCGCGTGGCCCAGTCGGACTGCCGGGTGCCGCTCGGCGCACCGGCGCACCAGCCTGAGATGAACGGCAGGAACGGACCATGGACAGGTACTTCTGTTGCTTTGTTTGTTTACATTTTATGTTAAAATATTGGTTTGAATTTAACTGTGGTAATTTATAGCCTCACGGCAAAATGAAGGAAAATGTCTTACTTATACAGAGAGCAGTATTGTATGAGTTAAATTATCCCGTATTTTTAAATTTTTGTAGCTGGACTACACACAGATCTTAAGTTATGATGTTATTTTATTATTTATTATCGTTTCTGTAGATCAGAAGGTTGGCTTCACTGCTAGCACAATTGTAACCCGTTTGTGTGATGTTACCTTCTCCCTGATCACTGGGGGGGGGAGCGGAGCTGGGCTCAGAGGCTGTCAGTAGTCGCTGCCTCTCGCGCTTTCCAAGGATGCTGAGAACCCGTCGAGGCTGGCGCGGGAGGGATGGGTGCTGGCAGCCCCGGGGGCCTGTGATACTCCTCGTGGTCGATGCTGCAATTCGCTCATGCGTTGCTGGTGGAGTTGACAGCCCCCGAGCTGATGGGGAACAGTGACCAGGGAGCGAGTGGTTTTGTACTGATCACAAAGTAAATAACTTTTCACAAAGACCCTCGGGCGAAAGCGTCCAAAGGGACAAGTAGAGAGGAGGGCAATCACTGCAGGCAGTGGGTGCAGGATCAGGGGTGGCCAGCAGGTGTGCATCACTGGCGCAGGACCAAAGAGGTTGCCGGTGAGGAGGAGCCGCCGCTCACCTACCTGCAGCAGCAATACTCAGACCCAGTGTGGAGGAAGAACGCGGAGGGGAGCGAAGCTCTTGACCGACTTCGTTTCATGTTTCCTTTCTCTCCCTAACCCTCATTCTTCCTCCCAAATGCGCTCTCTCTTGGGCAGTGGCATGAGGAAGTGGCAGGGCCGGACACAGCTTTGCTTTCATGGTGTGGCAGGAGTTTTGGGGTGGAAGAGGTGGTACAGATTGTTACTCAGGAAGCTGGAGGCGAGAGTGCAGGAGCTTGAGACAGGCCAAACAACGCCAAATTGCGTGCATGTGCAACATCCATGCACACGAGGGGGAAGACCAAAGTATTGCAGAAAGAGAGGAGTAACGTATGAAAGTGTTGAGAACTACCATCATGGTCTACACCAAATCGCCAGCGCAGCAGAGGGTGCCAGGCCTTGCACCCTGGAGAGACCCTGCCGCTTGGATTTGGCAACTTTCCTGAGCCCTGACAGACTGGGCTGCCGGCTGGCCTCGGGCAGCGCTGTGTCAGCCCAGCGCGAGGTCTGGTGGTGCCCGCTGCCTGCGCGAAGCACTTGCTTGCGAAGGTGGCCATACAGCAATAGCCCAAAGCAGAGCTGCCTCCAGCTCAGGCCTGTCAGTCTCAGTGACTTCAAGCCAGGATGATTTGGTCCCTAGCAAAAAGATCCTACAGGGCTTTAGTAGGTGCAGCCTCCGCTCAGCAGAGCGCCGCAATGTGGTGAAGCTCCTTGGGGAGTTCCCAGCCTTCACTGGCACTTGCTGAGATGGGGAGAGGCTTTGATGAACGAGAGTTTGGGACCCTCCTGGTCAGCAGTCCCAGATACATGCTCAGATTTCTTCCTGCCTGTGCCACAGGATGCACTGACAGCCTGGAAGAGCAGAACGGAAACCCTTCCGGTTGTCTGCTGCCATGCTCCAGCTGCACTTCGGTCTAGTTGCTTTCCATGCCCACGTCATTGCACTGTAACCTTCCAGCGTCGCTCCTCATAACCGCTGCCTACTATGCAGGGTCCCTTTGGGACTGCCACCTCCCTGTGTTAACGAATAACCCGTCCACCAGTGGAGATATCATCCCAGCCTCCCCTCCGCATGTTTCTCACGCACCTTGGCTGCGCGCAGGCAGGGCCGGCTCAGCAGCCCTCCCACGTTCCTGGGACCGGGGTGCTCAGCCCCGTAAAGGGACGTGTAAGCATTTTCTTTAATGCAGCTTATCCCAAATTGCACATAGACGACGTGATCTCCACATTGCTGTACGGGCACCTCTGCTGCGGTTCCTTGCACTTTCTCCCCTAGCAGGATGTCGGGGCTGAGGTACCTAAATCGGCCTGCTTCCTCCTCGCGGTAACACCTCATTTGCGGGACAGAGGTAAATTGTGGGTTCCCTTTTCAGCATCCTGACTACCGTGATCCAGTTCTCATGGCTGCTGACAGCTCCTGAACGCTAGCCTAGATTTTCTCCCAGAGCTGAATGTTGCCTTCCCCACTGTTGTGTTAAGTAACCATTTCATCTTGGCCCTGTCCAGTAGTGTTCATCTCTCTTCCCTGCTCTGCGCATTCCTGATACAAACTTGATTTTTTTGTATTGAACAGTGTACAGTGATGGAAACAAGAATGACTATCAAAGCAAACAATGCATGGAATAAAAAGCCAGTGTACTTCAACATCTTTCAGGCTGGTCTCGTGATCTGGGGATGGTTTGTGATGTACTTTGGGATAAAGCCATGAAGCCTTTTCAATAACTAACACGATGCTTGTCAGCAAACAGCATGTTTTAAGTTACCTCTTGCTGCACTGTAACTCCTGGGTGCTCTGAGTACCAGGGCAGAGGCTTGGTGGGATGCACGTAGCCTCCTGAGCACCCAGGTGCCCCTGAGCTCTTGCTCTTGTTAAAGGAGCCATTTTACTTTGTAAGCTGGGGCGTTGAATCTGCACCCTTCTCTTCTTGTACCATCTGGGATTTTTTTTTTTTTTTTATTTACTGTCCCACTCGGCCTCAGCGCTGCTGGTGGGGCAGGTGGTAAAATGGATTAAGCGTTCTCTGTCAGCTTCCCAAATGCTCTGGGGTCTCCCACCAGGGTCCCTTCCATGCCAGCTAGTCTACTTTCCTCCTCTGAGCAGAGGGCAGGGTCCTGGGGAGCAGAGCAATGAAGGGCAAATACCAAAAACTCAGGAGTACATTATCTTCCCTGGGGAACAGTCTCCAGCAAATGGGACAGAGCCTAAGCCTACCTACTTATTTGGAAACCATGTAGTTATATATATGCAAATACCTATGTATAAAGATACATGGCTTGTGACTCTCAGGAGCAAATCTCTGCAAAACAGGCACATCCGTTTTTTTTTCCCTTTAGTCTTAGTGGGCAGGCGCAGATAACTGATAGTCATCAGAAGTGATCTGTGTGTGACACGTGAATGATGCTGTGTACAGGCATCTTGTGGCAGGCCCCCAAAACTGATGTAGGTGGAGAATGTTTTCCTTGCTGTATGAGCTTACTGAAATCTGAGTCACAGTAGAAAAGTCTCTCCAATGTATCCTGCAAAAGCTCTCCTACAGAAGGTGCAGAGACAAGCAGCAGACCCTGAAACTTTTTTTTCCCCTCAAATTGGTATTGTACTTCTGGGATTAAGAGCACAGAAGCGTGTGGTTTTTCAGTTTCAGCCAAAAATGCTGAATACTTATGGGTGTGGAGAGGCCACCAAGAGCTGGGGAAATGATGCTATTAGAATGACAGTGAAAAATAGCCAAGGCTCCTGCTGTTGCTGCCCAACATGACTCCCTGTGTGCTATGGGCTCCTAAGTGCCCTCAGATGAGGGGGGCTAAGGCTGGGGCAGAAAAACAGCTGTCAGGGCCAGCTGGGCTCTTTATCCCTGCACCATTGCTGCACCAGTGTCAGAGCTGGACTCAGGGAGAGGCAGCAGCCGTGAGTTGGGCTGGGAGGCAGACTAGGTGAGGGAGGGAGGTGCTTGACACCCTTCTGCCTTTGTCCCTGCTGGCTCCTGAGTTCTGGCTTGCCTTCCTCAAGCAATCACGATTTTTTCCCCTTTTGTTAACACATTTGCAGCAGGTTGGCAACACCCTCAAGCACATGAAGACGCAGGCTTAAAGGACACAGGCGATTTAACTGAAGTGTGCATAAAACCTCTGTATAGCGCTCTCAGTGCAGATACATGCACAGTTACAATTTAAAAACAAAACCCTTACACCTCTTCTTAGATGAGGAGTGTAAACACTGCAATTGTCCTTGGTCCAAAGTGGCACAGAGCATGCAGAACAAAGCTCACAGGAACAGAGACCAGCAGCTTCTGTGAGGCAGTCCCCTGAGAGCTGGCACACCGGAGCCATCACATGCTCTTTTTGTCATTGAGCAACTGAGCATGCTTGTCTTCCTCCACTTTCAAGCGCGTCTTGCTGTATTTCTTGATGAGGGTCCCTGGTATCAACGCTGCCATAGCCATAGCAAGCAGTTTGAGCAGTGTGTCCCAGGAGAAAATGGCATCCAGAGAGTTGATTTGTGAGAGAATGGCACCTGTCTGCACACAGATGAAATTATATGGTGCAAGACCTGAAAGAATCAGAGCCAAAAAAGCCTGTTAGCATCCCCCTTGCCTCCAAGCAAGAATGCTAGTTAGTTCAAATACCTGCTTTCCCTAGGTCAGACACAAGGGCCTGAGATTGTAGCAGCAGGAGCAGAATGTGATTCAAGACTTTGCTGCATTACAGCAGCACCAAGTGTTGCACAATGCTGCAAGATGTTTGAACGTACAGGCAGCAAGGAAGGCAAACAGGTACAAGGGGCAGAGGCACAGCTAGGGGAGCAGTGCTCTGCCTCCTCGGGGTCAGCGGTTACCACCCAAGGAGAGTGACAGGGTCCTGCTACAGCCTCCCCAGGCCTTACCGATGAGAACGGAGAAGAAGAACTGAGACACAGGGATGTTTAAAATGGGGGCTGAGAGATTCAGGAACCAGTTTGGTGTCATGGGGAACAGTCTCAGGAACAACAAGAAGAAAAATAAGCAGCTCCTGTTCTCTTCTACCTGCCAAGAGAAATGTTCCAAATTACTTCTGCTAGTCAGGTAGCAGAAACATCTGAACAGCCAGGACTTAAAGGAGTACAAGTTTCATTCTAACAAGCCAGAACATAACCTCAGTCCAGAACCGATGACAAGTGGTGAGTCTACATATGTATTGGCGCTTAATGGTAAGCCACTGCCTTCCACAAAAGCCGTGAAAAGGGGTCTAAGCTGAGTACGAGAGAATGGAGGAAGTCAGCAGCAGAACAACCTCTGGCGATACAACTCAGCGCAGGTTTGGTGGGGGCAGCGCTGGAACGCAGGGGCTTCCCAAACAATCCGCGATGCTACTTCACATCCAATTACCCCCTGGGCGAACAGACGCGTTCCCAAGGAGAGCAGGAGGCGGGCAGCCCCGTCCTAGATCCTGCCGAGGAAGGTCCTCCCTAACTGACCCTCTGCCCGTATTAATTTTTTTTTGTTTGACCAAAAGTCACAGCAGGAGGCAGCCTCACCACGGGGGGTGGGGGGTGGTTCCGGGCGCCTCGGCCGAGCGAAGGCCGTTTACCTTTCTTTGCAGCCTAGCCACTTGATCAGGGAAGTAGTGGACCACGAACTTCTTCCCAAAAGCGCGGGAGAGCAGGTAGCAAGAGGTCGCTCCCAGGGAGGTGAGGGCGGAGCACAAGGCGAGCGCCGTCCACGGTCCGAACAGCGCTCCGGCCAGGACGTTCTGCGAAGACAAGGGCAGGCGGTGACCGGCCAGGAGGGGCCTGGACGCGGGGCCTCGCCGCAGCCCCCCCGCACCGCACCGCACCGCACCGCACCAGGAGGCCGGAG